TTGTACATAACATTAAGTGTTCATACAAACGATTAACTTCGTAAATGTAAGAATATGTTTTGGATTTGAAAATACAAATGCATTAAAAACATTTTAAATAACTTAATTATGTATTTAATAGGATTTTTAATTAAAAACAATATAAAAGTACACCACGAATTTAGTTCGGTTTAATAAAATTTAGCTGAATAAAAAAATGAAGTCATTTTATTTAATGGAAGGTAAGTTATAACTACATTTTAGTGCATAGAAAAGATACTAAATATATGTATTACAATAGTATAAAAAAAAAAACTTTTTTTTGTAAAAATATTTAATGATATATTTCGATGTTTTTGTTTTCAGGTGGTCAATAAATAAATAATTTTAAAATTTTAGATATACCGTAGTAGTGATGTTATAATAATAAATGTAATTATTATTTTTGTTATACGCTTATATATTTATACATAAATATACAAATAAAATTATCTTTATCTCCATAGTATAATATAAGTAAATCAATTATAAACTGTATAGTACATTATTAATCATAGTTAACTAAACTAATATTGTTCAATATACTAACTATAGTATTGCGAGTCAACTAATAAAAATAAAATTGAATAACTATTAATGACTAGATTTTTCAGTGATATGCTTTTAGTAAATTAAATTTGACTAGTTTAAATGTCACAAAAAATATTATTATACTTAAAATTCAAGGATGGTTTTAAACAAAATGTATTAAATATCTATGCAAATATGTTGATTGCATAATTGTTTTAAAAATACTAACTAAAAATTAAGCTCCTATTTAAGTATTATAAGTAACAACCATATGATTCACAAAATTTATAATAAATTAATCACGGAATGAAAGAAATTTTGTATCCATTAAAAATAAAACTGTTTATGGATAAACTAACAATTAAACGTAAATTATATCCGTAAGTATATTTTACTAGCAACATTTATATGTTTTGACGCCTACATGACTGTATATGAATCTATGCATACATTATAAACATGAAAATAATAGAACATACCATTACTTATATAAGTTTGTTAATATTTTCTGTAAAATATTATGGATCTTTTTCGACACATTATAGAAAAAACACAAAAAATACATTTACACGCACGCATACAGTTTTACACTTACGACGGCGGCAGTCTGACCCTTTATACGAAAATTAATTTTTAGCTGATTCCACGCACCGTCCACTCAACTGTATACCACAAAAGAGAAAGATCAGTGACGGTGCATCGCCGCAGCTTTTTGTAATAATACAGTAGGGTGATTTTTGGGGGATTAATAAACACTATTATACATACAGTGGACAGTAGCTCGGCGAACGACTTTTTGTTCTGAAATACATTTCATAATTCAAACAATACAATATAATAAATATATAACATACACCCACGCAAACCAGTCAAATTCAAACATTATTAAAATATGATGTAGTGTGTGTTGTGTGTTGGAGTCTGCGGTGTAAAAGTAACCGGAGGCCATAGTACGTTTAATTTGGCGGGTGAACGCTCACTGGTTCTTCGCCAGGGCCCCCGAAGGCAAACGCAGTTTAATTAGGTTCCAGGGACGATAGTCCGATTCAAAGATAAAGAGAGAGAGAGAGAGAGAGAGAGTGAGAGTAGAAGAGAATATGCGTATACGAGAGAGAAAAAGAGATGGAAGAACACGAAAAGAGTGAGTGAAAGAGAAGTAGAAAGGAGAGAGACGCCACCACTGAATCGTCGTCTCTGTGAATGATTGTGTTTGCATTTCATTTCAAACGACAAGATACCTAACAGTTTTACAATATATGTGTATAGTATACATATACATATTATATAAGTTAACATACATTTTATTAATAATATCATAAAATACCATAAATTAATAAACAAATACCACTTAATGTAAGAATAAATTAACTATCTTCTAAATAATTGCATAAAAAAGGTAGATGTACGCTAGATTCCGTAGTTTTCAAAGATTCACAATGTTTGTTAAACTTTCAACATGGGTATTAAATATTATTCAGTAAGAAATTGTATTTGACAGTAATTAAATAATTTAATAAATCAAACTCTTATTATAAAATACAACTGGGAAATGGTAAGATTATAAAAAATTAACATAAAAGACAGCAAATAATTTTATTACATATACACGATGTCATAATAATACATTTATATTTTTCAATAAGATGTGTATTTATTTATTTTTTTTACGGTATGTACCGTAAAAAAATAAATATAAAAAATACCAATATATTATACAATTATCATCTAACCGTAGGAAAAAAAAAATATTATATGGAAAAATAGAACTTGCTAATTATAAAATATAAATAATACGTGTTTGATTAACTATAAGGAGCACCAAATATAAAACAATTTTCATACTACAAAATGAAACAAAATAGTTACTTCAATAGTAACTTCATAAAAATTTTAATTTTTTATTAAATGTAAGCATAATTTATTGAACTTACACAATATTAGGTAAAAGTAATTTAATATTAATATAAATTAAATTCTGCCTAAATAAAATAGACTACTGAATGTACATATCTGATTAGCGTTACTAATTTTTTCATTAACTATAGTCATACAGACTGAATCGAAGATCGATTCGAACGTATTCCAAATAAATGATTTCAGAAAAAAATGTTATGCAGAAATATATAGTATGTATATATAGATATACTATATAAATCATCACACGCGTTCCGCACAACCAAAATCCAATATCCGAGTAGCAGATCAAATGTGCGTAGAATTAATACTGGACAGTAAATAATCGAGATAGACAATGTAATCTATAAAACTTTCAATAGCAAAAACGTTTGCATGTGTAAACGAAAGGCGAACAAAATTTAAAAAAAAATAAATAAAAGAAAGCCTTTATGGGTTAGTCGGACAATTAGTAACGACACTTCACAACAATAAAAAAAATGGACGTTCGTGACTTTTGGCACTTAGGCAACATATAACTGCCCCAACACTAACGTTTACAATATTACACGACGTGCGAGGAAATCGCGTGGCTGATGATCGTGTTTTTCACAAGCTTTAAGGACTACTATATCCGTAGATCAATAATTTTTTTTCATTAAAAATATAAAAATAAATATATTATATGTATACATTATAATATCCGAGTTCTGTCAGTGAATTTAAACGTCTAATAAAGATCGCAAGAGAAAAACTGCATTTTTTACTTAAAAAGACTCTTTCAGACATTTTGATAAATGAGGTTTGTTTCACTTCTCGTCAGCCGTCGTCATAACTCTAGAAATCGTCTTCACCAAAAGCTCACTTTTTTCACCCCAATACACATAGGGACAAACCGTCAGTAATGAAATTTCCACTACCTTCTCCACGGTCACTACTAGAGGAAAACGAAATCGAAAGCAATTTGCATAATCCTCAACACATTTCACCAGTCACAAAAAATATATATATATATATATACATATATACAAACAAATATAAAAAAAAGGTTTTAATTTCTGGCAGTAAAACATTTAAATTAGATTTAAGAGCATATATAAAGGTGATTTATAAATACAACTATCTGATATTATTTTAATACTAAAGAAAAAAACCATGCATATGCATAAAAATATAAAAAAAAGTATGAAAATATCCATAAATATTATATTTATACACAAAGAGACTACCTATATTAAGAATCAATAATATATTTTTAGGTTTTTAAAATATTAAAATTTGTATAAGTAAATAATAAGTACCAATATTGTTTTACAAAAAAGTTTAATATCTGAAAATATTTCCTAGGTGGCTGGCTTGGTATCAAAGTAAATATATTATTCAATATATTATTATAATAAAAATTATTTATCTAAATATTATCAGCTCTTAAAGAACATAAGTATGCACCTACCATCTAGTCAATGAGTCAGCCTCACTAACACTTCCAGGTAACCTAACTAGACGCCTCAAGAGGAAATGGCGCCATGATTTGATAACTTAAGTTAAAACTTATAAATGTAAGAGGTATCACAAATGTGTGATTCTCTCCTCATGCGTTTATTTCTGTAACTTGTCTATACATTTTTATTACTACCTATTGCTTATTTGTACTATGTATAGATCGTTATTCTTCAAATAAAGTAAAATATTTAAAAAAAAAAAAGTATGCACCTACCATCTAATATTTTATTATAAAAATAATTAATATATGTAACATAGGTAAGTATCATGTAAATTGAGATTCATATATTATCATTTATCATTAAATAGCATTAGTCTTTGAGGGTAATCAGAAATATATTAGATATAACTGATTAATTAATTATTAAAATTGTACATAATTGTATAATTTGATATTTAGTAATATAATGTATACAATTATAAATAAAATACTACATATTCGTATAATTATCAATTAAATTAAATTATACATAAATATATGTATATTAGGAGAGAAGGAGAAAATGGCAAAAACAGAGAATAACACAAATAATAAATATAAAAGTTCACGAAAAAAAAATTATTATCATCAATACCATACATAGTAAAAGTATCCCTTTTCAATAGTTTATCAAAATTATTTATTCGTTTAACACTGCAGTCATACATTTCAATATCCACTTTAATAAGGACTAAGAAGACAACTATAGTGACCAATAAAATAAATGAAATGCTAGAGTAGAAATGGATATATATATATATATATTTAATACCTTAATTTATAATCATATTTCTTTATAGCCTCGTAAATCACTAATTTATTGCACAATCAGAGAATACATCAAGATGTAAAAATATATAAATCTAGTGGTTTATTTGGTATGGGTTATTACTTATTTCATAATCGTCAATGAGTTAATAAAAACTGGCAACTAATCTTTTTTTTCTCCCTAAATAACGATAAAGAATCGACCAATTTTAACAATAAAACTGTTGCATCAAAACAGACTACCACATATAACAATATATTATAAACAAATTACTTGGGAATTAACGAACATTATATTATGACTCACCGTATATCCTCTGGACTGCAACAGTTACGAGTAGCCCAAACACCGGTAACACGACCATTGTGATTCAATTATATGCAAACTATAAACAAAAAAATAAATAGTTTTACAACATTATTACAAGTCAAATTTATGTTTGAAGGAAATGACTAATTAATATTATACTTATTTTAATTAAAAATAATTTATTACCTACTCAATAATATAAAGTAAGTACCTCAACTGATGCTATAAAAATGTTTTTAATAAGTTAATTATTTTTATTATTAAATGATAGTATTGCTTAATCAGACATAAAATCAATATTATATAATCAAATTAAGTTATAAGCACCTATATAAAATACATATATATATAGTATAATCAAAATGCGTATATGTTGTATGAAAATTATAAATAATTAAATACAACCAAAATAAGTAGCAATAGTAGAAAAATTATTAAAACTTTGAATAATGTAATCATTAGTATCAAAACATTTGTAGCCCATGGCTACACCGCAGTAAAGTATATTTCCAGTATTTTTCATTTCACCTGTTACAAACCACCCCTGCGCGTCCTCAGGCATTATGTTTTCCATCAGATTTAGCCAACAGCGTTTCATTTAACCCGAAAATGCATTACATCCCTCTGCATTGTATTACTCTTTATAAATCTATTTTTATGTGGACTCATTTTACGGATGGTTTTTTACCTTCATATTTCATGCAGACCAAATGTACATAGAAATATTATACAAACATAAAAAAGTAAGATAGGTACCTAACATATTAAAATTAAAATAATACCTCAAATGTTTAAAAGTAAACTAGCATTAATTTAAAGTTTATTCAGAGCGGGAAAGGAAATATAAACTGATTCAAAATGTTTCATCATTTTATTGTTTCAAATAATACATAATATTTGATAACTTAGAATATTATAAATAATAAATACATTGGATCATCCTCTAATTTTATCCATATATTTTATTTTTATTTAAAACCTAGTATTATACTGTTCTAACTAAATGTACTTAAAGCCAATCTTAAAGTATTTTAAAGCCGTTGACATAACCAAAACATTACAGTATCTCATTTGTTCCGGAACAGAAATCTGTCGGTTATAATAACAGTGACTCTTTTATAGTCTATGTACGTCTGATCTGATGAGAATCACAAGACTAAGGCCATCACTTACTCAAATGCCATTACCATTTCCACCTAATCTAACGAATCCTATCTCCCTCGTCAGCAAACCTCTTACCACAACCGTCTTCAAAGAGCCCAATCATAACAATCAATTAAGTTATATTAGTGATGTAATTCAAGTTTGGTATGTAAAATATAAACTAAGCCTTATGAATACAAAATACATCGTACGTTTATTTTAAATATATATACAAACACAATAAAAACATAATAAATAAGATAAGAAATATAATAGAAATGTAAAAGTATAAAAATATAATGATAGCGTTTTTATTCCAGTTTTTAAAATACTTTTCAATAGCAATTTAACATCACACGCAAAGGTTTATTTCAAATTGCTTTTATATTTCAGCTCAAATACATGAAACATAGACAAACGTTAGAATAAACATTCTACATGTATTGAATACACTATTCATAATAAATAACTATAATTTAAATATAAATTATAAAATTACCAATTTTAGAATAAAAATTGAGAAGTTTTTATCTATTTTTTTTTTTTACCGAATGCAAAAATTCTTTTTCGAATTGTTTACAAGTGAATATATTCAATTGAAAAAAAAATAAATACATGATTAAATAACTTGTTCAAATGAAATGCAGAAAAAATTAATAAAACATATCAGAGGACTAAAATAGTAACGTTTACTAAAATTATAAAAATAGGCAAGTTAATATTATAAAATATAAAGAATGTAATGTAATAAATACTAATTACCTTAAAAATTATGAGCACAACTAAACTAAGAAAATTGTACTTTTAAATAGAAAAGGTATTTTATATACCATAAAATGCTATTTACATTATTAAAAAAAAAAAAAAAAAATTGTACTATACTTTAATAAGAATTACAATATATATATATCAATTGAAATAAATATTATAATAAAAAAGTATTAAGCAACTATAAAAATACTTGATAATCCATGTACGTAGCAAATTAAGTTGTAAATTATTATTATTACAAGATAATCAATATTATATGATAAATAAAAAGCTAACAATAAGGTTATTTATATTTATAAATCACTAAATATAAAAAAGTAAAAAATCATGCACTTATTATATTTACAAACAAAAATAAGACGGATATTTAAATGGTAAATGAGACAAAAAACAAAAAAAAACTCTCAAAGAATTATTTTAATTAAGTTATAACTCTATTTAAACATTTAATTGAAAACACATTTTTTCATTACTTAAAAAACTTATTTTTAAGTCAAATTTTTAACTTTTTGTTAATCTAAGTTAAAATATTTTATATTGAAATGCTTACCTAACAAATTACTTTTACTAATATATACATGAGTGAGAAACAATATATTATAATACAATTAATGTCTAAAAACTGAAATTAATAAAATTAAAGTTTATAGACAAAATGTATTGAGGAAATAAATTCTATTTTTTCGAGTCATTATTCTTTTTCCTTAAATATCCTAAGTGTAGGTATATTATACTATTTAATGAAACTTAAGAGTAAGTTTTCACTTTCTGAAAAATTCGACATAAACAATTTAAGTAGAAATAACAGATTTAAATTCAAGTTTATTTAAATACTAAGTACATAAATGTAACTCTTAAGTTATCCTGCGTTAGTAGCAACATTGATAAATGTCTATCGTAATTATGGAATTATGTAGCAAATTTGTTTTACGTCGGGAGAGGGAAATCAAGAAGGTATTATTATGTAGTAATAGATATAACAAACCAAATGTTTATCAAATAAAGAAAAGCATTTTGACATGCAATATTGCTTTTTATGTTTTTTAATAGTACAAAATAATTCAAATTTGATAAACATAAAAATAACGGATTTTAAACAATACATTTTTTTTTTTTTGAGAGAGATGTGGACAGTGGCCATTGGAATGGATTTACATATTAAGTTAATTTGTAAAAAATATATATTATAAAAAAAATTATGAAAGTTTAATAAACACTATAAAAGATTAAAAATTATTAAATTTGGAAGCGATAAATTAAATGGTAGAGTTGGAGTTCTAATTAAGTGATTTAACCAGCGAATCCGGAAGGTTAGAATTTTCTTTTTCCTGTGTTTATTAGCGACACTCCATGAACATATGTTTAAAGTAGATATAAATATATAAAGGTGTCCTCTTTCACCATTAAAAAGTTGTGTAATATTTTTATGTGGCAAATAAAAATTATATTTCCAAGTGTCTTAGACATTTACCGGTGCGAAACAATTTGTAACTAACAATTTATGGATATATAACGTCCGCTCTCGAGGAATCAACTTTAATTCGTATATTAAAAGTTAAACCTTATTAATAATTCAACATAATATAGTCTCATTATCTATCTCATGCATAGGACTTAATGAAAACCCGTATGAAAACAATTTAAAATACTATTATAACATTATTAATACAGAGCATAAAATGACTATCTACATATAGCTATTGAATAAATAATAATAATATTTGGGACATATTATTTTTACTTAGTGTGTAATTATACCTACTATACATATGCCTAAGTAGAATTATAATTTTATGTGTAAAACAAATAGGTATAACTAGTAAGTATATAAATAATTTTGACATTTTTTTTTTTTTTTTTTTTTTTCATAAGTTATCTATGCATTAATCTAATCAACATTAGTTAAGTTAGATTTTATTAGATTGACTTCAAATTTAAAATAAAAAGATAGTTTGGTATATTAAAATTTAATAGTACGAAATTGGTGGTTTTAAAATTATTTACTAATTATATTAAACTTTAAAAAAAAAGTTTTTAAACACCAAGTTTTTTTTTTTTTTTTAATGTAAGCTTTACATTGAAAAAGTAAAGAAAGCACGTGGCCAAGAAATACAACAGAACATCGAGTCTAATTGGCCTTTGTCGTTGGCACGCGCTATAGTTAGTTAGCGGTTCTTCACCTAATAGATCACGAAAGATAAAAAAAAAAGGAGAAAAATGAGTCTAATTGAAAACACTCGGTTTGTTTGTACTAAGTATATACCATGAACGAGGCTAACTCGCCCTCTCTCATCAGTGTTACGCAGAAACACTCAATGTTAATATTGAAGAGTACTTACAATTTTTTCGTATTGTATAGTCTTTTTTTAAACGTACATTTTCTTATAAGAAATATAAATCACGACAATAAACTTAGTCATTAAAAAAAGGGTGAAAGACTTGAAATGGTCTAACCTTAAGTTGATGTACTTTTCGTGTGTAGAAGTGACGGCCCATCAAGAGAAAACCCCCATTTACAGTTCCATGTATATAAATGTCATAAACGAACCACCAATCTAAAATCATAACATTGTAAGGCAAAAGTAGAATGTGTAAGAAAAAAGTGCACACTACACATTCAATTTTTTTTTTTTTTTAATAATAATATTTTTTTATTAATAAAAACACAATAGGTTTACTCTACATCATTTATTACTTTTAAATTTTATTAACCATTTAATATCTAAGAAACAAATAAAAAAAAAATTGAATTTGAATATACCTACCTATAAGTTATAATTTATAAGCTAAACATAATCGTGAAATATTCTTCTTACACAGATTTATTCTCCAAAATGAACATAGGTACCTAATTAAAATTACTTCAGTCCATTAAATAAATATAAGGTATCAATAAAACACGTATTTTTTCTTTTTTTTGGGGGGAATTTTATAACCTCAAGGTAGATATATCACATATTTTACAAATCATAATTGGAGTTAAAACTCAAGCTAAAATAAATAGAATTTTTTCAAGAAAAACTTAACAACTATTGTGCTTACACGTTAGGAAAAATAGACAATTTAAAAAATAACAATAACAATAATTATTAATTTTTCTACAAAAAATTTGTATTTATACTTATTATTTGCTTCAATTGTTAACAACCGTTAACCACTCTAAATAATATGCACTTACATTGTACAATACTGATTTCAAGTTTAATTTATAAGCTTACAATTGTGTTTAATTATAGCACCTATCTATTTATTACTCATAAGTACAATTAAAGATTTTAATCTAATAAGAAATTACTTCAAAAAATGATTTATGAAGTCCATGAAGTCCATAATAATAATATTATTATATCATATTAAATTACGATAAATATATGATTATTTACCTAATATTTTAATAATAAGAATTTGAATTTTTGTAATATAATTGTATTATGATATAAATGGCTAATTATTACTTACTATAATATAATATACCTAACACATAATGTTAAAATTTATAAAAACAAATAAGTTTGCAGTAATTGTTCAAGGAATTGTATATTGAATTAAATTATATTGACTTTAATAGTATAAGTATTAAATTATTAAGTTTGATTTTTACACATTTTCATTTATAAAATTGTACGTTAAATTATTTGTTATAAAAAAATAACCATAAAAAACATGTTTTATTTATCACAAGTTTGGTAAATGGTTTGAATTTTTAAAATAATTCACTGGTATGTACGTAGTTTACCTATATGGTTAAATTTAACAATTTACTTCGAGAGCCACTTTCCATTGCACTTATCTCTGCGATCTTGTCGATTGGCATTTCTTAGGTACCAACAGTAGGTAGTTATTGTACACGTATCATAGTATAATATATGATACTACTACTACTCGACAATGCAGACATAGTGAATCCTATTGTTAAAAAAAAATAAGTAAAAATAATTGTATCTTGTTAGTTGACTTATTATTATGGCCGCCATCGAATCCTATTTATGTAGTATATTAAATTCAGATTGGTTTTTAATATCCATACCGCATACCGCTATTGACTTTGTAATATCTATTCTCACGGAGGAACTACAGCAATGTAGCAGGTTGCCCGGTGATCAAGCGAAACCAGTTTAATTGTCCTTGGCCTCTAGTATCCCATGCGCGTATAATATACAGTACATAATATTATTTATAATATATATATATATATATATATATATATCCAACATAGGTATACGTTTTGATGATATATATTATTATAAATTATGTAACTAAGAATGAAGTTATTTTGTATTCAATACGAGCAGCTTCGATTCAACATGTACGCACTACGCGCGCACACGACCAGTACAATATTATAAGCACATTAATGAGGACATAATTTTTGGGTAGAAAAAAAAAATAACACCGGTGGTAAACCGAAGGGGGTTTTCATAACTGCATGGGTGGTCCTATCAGATAAATTGTCATCAAACTCTCGGAATGTAGTTTACAACAGGCTTCTTGCACTAATGATCTCGAAGATCCACTAATTCCCTAGGCTATCTTCGCAGCAAATAGAGTGGTTCCTACGATCATATCTTTAAGCTGTCAGCAAGTTTGATTTTATCTTTGTATATTATAGTTATGTGATTAAACGTGATTAAGGTAGAAAGACAAAAATCATGTCTGATGAGGCGAAACATATTTCAATTGCTGACACCAAAAACAAATGACAAATAAAACGATACATAATATCATAATGGGTATTATTTTTCAAAAGAATAAACATATTAATTTAAACAGTAAGTATTAAATACTAAGTATCTTCATTAAAAACATGTGTTTAAATTAGAAAGAGTTAGGCTTTTATGCGACAGTTTAACATTTAACATATTTATTTAAATAAATATTTTGAAATCAAAGAATATTTAAATGGTAAAAAAAAGTAAGCAGTTAGAAAATCAAATATGAGATCAATTATCTTAATATTGAGAATCAATTTTTTAACACCTAGCATTTTACTTTTCTATAAAATTAACAAAAAAAAATGTATTATAAAATATAAAAAACATATTATTCGAGATATTATTTTACATTCAATTATTATTCAGTTTTTTATGTATAAGACATCACTATCTGTTCATCTAAATGTATTTTCCTATGAAATGTAAACAAAGAGTCAGCACAGCTACTGGTGTAGTTCTGTGATTAATAATAAAGCTTCAAACACTACAATTATAGTTGAACATTAAAGCTAAAGGTACTATGATGGCCCAAAGACTTAATGCTATAATAAAGATATATCTTTAAACGAAAGGTGTATAATTTAATATTGTAATGACCAAGTATACTTACAAACTGATCTTAGATTAGAAAATATGTTGGTAGATACTAGGTATATATTTATTTTAAAGGAATAGAAGTAAAATTTTGATTGAAGAGCCTCTAGTCTACTTTTATAATTGTATCTATAGGTAAATGTAAAAAGAATAAACAAAATTGGCTAATAAGTAATAACGTTTTATTAAGTATAACCTCGGGTATAACAATTAAAATAAATTTTAAGGGAAACGTGTTTAGTACTGATTAGTGAAGTAGATACCTTGTATAATGTATATCTGTACTTACACTTAATAGAAATAACAACTTATTTTCTTAATAGTGAGGATTTGATTAGATTGTGTATAAAATTATTTTGAACCTACGTAACATTTATTTTTTAACTTAATACATGACTAAAATTACTATAAACATGTAATATTATCAAGATAAATGTATGATTATGTAAATTATACCGAAAAAAGAAATTTTGGACAGTTATATTAATTTATTGAAAACATTTGGTACGTAAGTAACAATAAATTACTAAAAAATCTTTACTTTGGTGTTATATTATACCAAATGTAATTAATTACCTAACCACTGTATTTTATAGATACTCAATTTTATATAATAAGTAATTTAAGTGGAAGGTTTAGTGTGAATAGGTGAAATAATATTAAATAGGTATGTACTTAAGTATCTAGATACATTAAAAATGTAAGCAAATGCCTCAGAAGTACTTACCTATACAATACTTATATTACTCATAAACATGTTATAATCCTCATATATATAGATATATTAAATAATAAGTAGATAATCTCTTATAACTCTGATTACAAACTAAGTGTGTCGGGATATATCTACATAATATGTTTTTGTTTCAATTATTAATAATAATACTTCAATATTATGAACGCATAGACATGTGAATATAGGTAAGTAGGTACACTTTAATATTTTATAAACTTGTGTCCACCTACTCAAAATAGTAGATAATTATAGAGGTTATTAGTCGAGTTATTAGTTAACCGTAATTATTCCATAATCAATTAGTAAACAAACTACTTACATATATGCTATGAATGGATTTATTCATATAGTTAAAAATTGCTACAATAGTAGTATAATTATATAAGTAATTTGTATCAACTAAGCCCTACAATACTATCTAATGAATCAATATCTATATATTATATATTACATATAACTATATAAATATAAATATGTAAAGACAATTTATACAGATACAAGCAATAAAATGTTAACAATAGCTAATCTGCCTGCGCCCTGCATTATAATGGTACAATTTTCTTCTGTATAAGTAAGTAGGTTAATCTATTTCAACATTTATGACAATCGAAGAAAATATTTAGACACCACACAATGTATCATGATTTAATTTACAAACAAGTTTAAAAATGAAATAATACCTATTTAATAATATTTTTTCAAAGGGTAAAAAGTAACAAAATAATTATTTGATTTATATTTTGTACCTGGATACAAAATGTACTTTCAAATGTATTATTATTGATATCGCTTATAAGCACAAATTAAAATTTAATATAGGTAAATTGATGAAGATATCTACCTATTCTAGACATGCTTAATTGACAACAACTCGAATATGAAATATTTCAGGCATAATGTCATAAAAATAACTATGATACAAAAATGGTCCTGTAAGTAGATAAGCACTGATTTAGTGAATAGAGTAATCAAGGTGTGTTAGATGAAATATGTATCATTTTCTTAAAACTTGGTGATTTGTATCCCAGTTGTTTTCATACTACTACATGATTAATATGTATAACTATTATCACTGGGTCTATTTCTATTAGGTAGTTTTGGATGAACATAAATGTCAGATCTTTAGTTGTTATTATTCCCACTTATATAATTATTTTATACTGTAAGTTGTAACCATAATTTATTATTGTTGAAATAAGTATTAGCATAATAATATGTATAAACGATAGTGGAAGTTAGTATTGAAATAAATATTGTAGATACAGTATACTGTAATTACTAATATCAACAATATGGCTACCTTATCACTGACTGATAATAGACTTGAATATGAGTCACTGAGCCCATAGACCTTATACTACTAGTATGCTATGACTGAGCCACACAACACAAATTAGTAATTTACAATTATTAATAAATTTAAATAAAAAGTAACAGATATATTATAACTCATGGCATTAAAGACCTAAAGATAGTAAAGGTGTACTATTGGGCAATCATTTCTAGTCTTTCAAGTATGAAAATTTAAATCTAGATTCAGTCAACACTTATATTACTGGAATGTGTGCTTACAATAGAAACATTTGTGGTAAACATATGTTATTGCAAAACCCCACATTTTTACACGTATAACCATGATAAAAAAAATAAGAATATATTATCAAATATAAATATACACATATATATATATATATTATATATATATGTATACAATTAGGCCATATATCGGTCAGCCTCAAGTAAGGGTAACCAGCAAGTAAGTTATGTCATTTTCTATGGTTATAAATTATAATGACGTTTGAAACATAAGTTCGGATAAGACCCCTGTTGCAGTGATTGTGATAGAAGACATGCCTTCTAACCACACTTAGACAGGTGAGTTACACCTGGTTCGAGACTGGAGTTCTCGTCGAATTCCTGACTAACGACAACTAAGTACGATGTCATTGCGTCCAAGCATACTAGGTAGGTACTCCGAGCACCCGAATCGTGTAGATATGTAGGGAGGATAAATATTATTATCAAATACGCTGAATGCTCGGGTGAGCAATTTTTACCGCACTCACTTTGACGGTCATCCGGGTATGATCAATCTTCAGGTCCGCAGACGAAATCATACAAAAAACCAAAGACGGCAACGAAACACTTCCGGTACACGCCGCCGGAGAACAACTGGCGCTCGGATGTGTGAAGATCACGCGAGATCACGAGAAATCGACGGTACGACTGAATGTTTTTATTTATCAGTCACATAAATTCGGGTACGTGCCAGTATTTTCGTCGTAGAGCAAAACTATACTAACAGTTCCGCAGACAGGGGAAATATTGAGACGAATGTTATATCGTATGGCATGTATGGAGACGAGGCGGTCACCGAGAAATTATTAATGATGCGACAATCAGCGGACACGACGGAGTCGGTTGTCAGGCCACACCGACGAGACGACAGCAGCGAGACAACGACGACATGGCGAACACGCGACAACAAACGACACGGCTGAACGGCCGCGGTAAACAAACTGACGGTCGGACCGCCGTCACCATTCACCTCCACTCAGCACTCGCCGCCGCAGAGGCGCGCGCACGCCGTCGTCGCGATCGTCGTCCGCGTCACCGTCGTAACCGGCACCTGCAGCTGCTGCTGTCGGTAGCGACCCATGCGTACACGGGTGGCGCGGTGTGCGGATGTCATGGAGGAAAAAAATTATTTCTAACCCTCCCCACACGCGCGCGCGCGCGGACAACTGTCCGTCCGTCTAAACAACGATATCCCGTCGTCCCTTCGCCCGACGGCGCTCGTTACCCCCGACGCGCCGCTACGCCCGCTCGACAAACCCTTTGTGTGCGGTTTATTTTTATTTCATTTTCTTTACGCACATCTTACGCGAGTCGAAACCGGGCTGCCGTCGAGTTCTTTAGTGCACCCGTTTACGAAATAATAATACTATAATACAACGTTCAAACGTTTTATGGCCATAATAAGGTACACAACTTGCGATACATATGATATATCATATAATATATAATATATAGGGTTGTACCACATAATATTAGGTTATAACGGTATATGTACGCTACATTATGTGTATGGTATAATATATATGTATATACACATCGCTGCAGACGAATGGTGAATTATACCGTAGCTGGTGGGCAAACGAACTATATTATAACTTCTGAAGTTCTACAGTGTATAACAGAAACTCCTATGTACCTGTATTGGTATAACACGCAGACGTACGCACGATACTTATACCCCTCTCTCGACCCGTAAACTGACCAACCGAAACTCAATAATAATAATAATGGTTTTATTACTTTATTATATTGCTGTATATCAATTTGAAATGTGTGTACACGATTTCGATATTATACAATATAGGTATTATCGTATTACGCCGTTATTATTATGTTATACCGTTCATCAGCTGGCCGAAAATAAAATACAAAATTGTAGTTTTGTCAACATCGGGCAGGCACGGGTACCTATCCAATAATAATGCAATATATAATTTACACCTAACGGTAGGTACTTACGCCCAAAATGCCTAATGCCTAGATGATGTTAGTAGATTAATATATATATATATATATATATATGTATATATCTCGCATAAATCATAATATAGGTGTCAATGTATCATAAGTAGGTAGTACACTATTCATAAATGTCTTAAAAATAATTGATTTTCTTTGAAAATACCCAGCTGGTTGGAGTACATTTATAGCTTATGAGAATCAAATATTTATAAGTCAGATACGTATTTAGCAGTGACAAGTGGGGGAGTGACTTTGATAGAAACAGAACTTTTTTCATAAATTAATATTGAACATATTGCCGTTCATAATTAGTACCTAATGACTTATTAGTTATTACTATCTATTAGTATAATATATTATAATAATTAAAATATAATAAATAATCTAACCTAATCTAGATGATTTTTTAATGTTTAAGTTTAGAAGTATATAGTTATAGAATGCATATGAATAACTGTTTAATCATACAAGAAACTCGTGAACAATATTTTAAGAAACATGTGATGTGTGTTCTACTTTGGACGCGCTACCCTCATGATAGGTACTCGCCTTTCGTTGAATCAGTATAATATTAATTACTATGATGATTGTAATATTTTTGAAAGCCTCGCAGTACAGTACACCATTGCAATATTAAAACATACTCGTAGATAACATAGTGATGCGAAAATTGTTGAATTGAGATTCGAACGACATTACCGATGTAGAGAAAAACACTAATAGAGATTCCGTTTTCCGAAGACTGACTTACTTTGGCTTTATTGATAATGTTATTGACGAGCGGATAACTATCATGACATAAAAAATATGGTCATACTGTTAAAGTCTACAACAATATATATTATATATATTATATAAACCTATGCACAGAGATATCAGTCTATCGAGTTAAATAATGACAATCTGAATTTTATGGTGGCGGATATAGAGTCAGAGTTTTTATTGAATGATTTGGACAGATTTTAGAACCTTAGAATTTTCTCTTGTACCTGTGGTATATATTATGTTGAGAACATTTTTAACTAATTATAATTTTTATTTTTCATAATAATATAGGTATGTTTTACATATTTTTTTCAATACTTCAATACTTAAAAAGTTATTCATAAAAGTATCAATATTATGATAATGACGTAATTAACATGGCATTTTAATTTATTCTTATTTTTCAAAATAAATAAAAGACGAATAATTGTATTGACGTATCGTTTTTTATAAATTTTTTATAAATATTATTATACTAATATTATTATGTTTATATGAATAGAGACAATAATTTATTATAATAATATTCCTTATTATATTTAAAATAACAAAATATTGCCTAACCTACGCTAAAAATACTGTCTAAATGTTTATACTACGAACTATACAATTTTAATATTTCGATTTCCATGTAAATATTATTATGAAGTTTTGAAATGTATTTTTAATTTTATTACTAGTCACAGTTATCAACCATCCTAAGATATTTCTACATAACTTCAATCTGCGTGTAAAAATAAACTCTCAAAGTTAATTACATATTTTTTTTTTCCAAAAAAGGTAAAAATTATGTCATAAATTGTACATAAAATACGATGTTTTTACTGTTCCTATATACAATAAGTAGATATGTAAAAGAATAAAATAATATGCAAAATGCATTAAATCAGCTTGGACGTTGATTTCTATTATTTTTTATAGAATCTAATAACACGTCGGATTTATCATGAGGGATTATCTTTTATAACTATTGTTATACTTAAAAAGATAAGTAATTTTATAATTTCTAACAATAAATTGCTTACTGAATAATCAATGAATTTAAATAAAACACTATGAAAAACAATAATTTTCTTATACTCGTAAATTGTAAAAATGTTTGAAGAAATATAGAAAAAAAGTATTTTTTTTTTAATAGTTATATATTTGTGTGTGTTTTATGTAGGTATGTATCAAACTATAAATTTAATTTAAAGCAATTAGGCATGCAATTGAAACTTTATCACCTCAAAAAATGTGATTAGGTAAGTTGATGTTTACTCACGAGTATATAAAAAACTAAAATATTACTTATATTTTGGTTTGTCTTAAAGGACTATCTCATTGATTTATGTATTATTTGGAGTAAATCGACTTCGTTCGACTAACAAATAAATATATCTAACGCTATATATATGTTTACGCCCTACACAGCTATTTTATATTATTATAATAAATTATGATCTGAAAAACAACTGTTTCTATAGGGTTATATAATAATAGTATAGTTCTTCAAATAACATAATATGGACTAAAACTAAATTATTTTATTATAGCTTTAATTTAATAAATAATATATTAGCATTTTATATTCACAAATAATGTGAAAACTATTTTATAAACGTCAGAATACGAATTATATGAAACACGAATGAAATAATAATAATATATATTTATTTAATAATTATTTAAATAAAAAAGGCTATTGAATGATTTAACATTTAAATTAAGATTCATCTAATGGATTTTACAATAGCACATATAATGACTTCGTTGTCCAAAAATCAACGAAACAAATCAAGAGAATTAATCGAAAATATCTGATTTTACATATTAGTTTCAGTTTTTCCTTATTTTTTTTTATTTTTTAAATAATTTCAATTATATTGAGATTTTTTTTTTTTTTACTGTTCTCTCTTTTATATCTGATTTAACACCAAAAAAACCATTTTCAAAATCGAAGTTTGAAGTATTTGTATTACTCCAAAGGGTTATGACAAACAAAAATAATACACGTTATAAAATCAATGCATTCATCGGTCCACTCAGAATCTAAAATAACTTTAACTATGTAATGGTTTATAAGGAATATTTAAAATATGAAAATGATAATTATTTTAAATGTTAAATGGGGGAAATTGGTATAAGGATACCTCATTAAAATTTCTGAATAATTCATATAACTTTTTTTTTTATATTTATACGTTATAGGTACAGATAAAAACAACAAAAATATTGAAATTTATGATTTTTTTTTCAAAATTATTCATACATTTAACTTATAATAATTAATTTTGGTGTATAAAAGATTATTAAACATGGAAACATAATTGCACGTATTTTCTACGTTCTATTTTCATTTTTAATTAGTAATTAGTATCGTTTCATTGGGCCTGTGGCTGAATTGGGTCATGACTCGCGAAAAGGTAAATGTTGTTTAATTAGTTTGTAGCCGTTGAATTGAATATAGTTTTATTTTTCTAATGAGTATACAAGTCAGTGTAATATTTACATGTTTGACTGATTTACTCTGTGATCAGTGTTTTTATGATTAAGCACGTTCTACAATATGTTATTAACAAAACAAGTGCGTACTTACTTTTCAAAAAATAATCCTTAGATTTATTCGAAAATTTACTCTTACATTAAGGAATTTGTATTTCTTTTCCACTCTATCGACTAAAAAAGACTTTGATTCTGTATAATCTCACAGTCTCCACATACTTATTCTGTTCACTCGATTGGAACGCGTCCTACTCACGGATGATAAGACGTGTATAGAATACATTGGGGAGTCAAACAATGTCAAGAACTGTGTTTATATATTATGTAGATAACTGTATTAGATTTTATTCTGTTTTAATCTAGACAATAATGCTTCGTTCATAGTTGATGTATGAACATTATATTATTTTAATACAACTTAAATAAATACCTAACTAAGAGTGTTCTACGAATATTGCTGTAAATAGCGAGTACCCATTCTCAATTTAAAGTGAATTTTACATAGACATCACACAAAGAGAATATAATAGTTGATACCTACTTACACAAAACTATAAATATGTTTTTGTAACATAAGTTGACATTTGAGATATTACTCGAGAAACAGTTGCAGCATTTTCTAATATTATTGTTAAATTGTAACCTATTTGTATTTTACCATATGAATACATCATTAAAATATTATGAACTTGTTATTACAAATTACGTGTAGTATATATTTCACGATAAATATTACTTTCAAATATT